ACCAAGTGTTATAAGTTGTGAAAGTGAAAAAAGAGTGCGCAGAACTCAATAGTGCGGAAGTGATTACAACGTCTGAATGAACAACGAGGCCTAGGCATAATATAGCAAGGTTAGCTAGGCCGAGGTCGCGGGGTCGCGGGATGGTTGGGTGTAGGTTCGGGGTTGGAAAACCCAAAAGCGAGCGGTGGGTCGGTGGTGGCTCGGAAGGCGAGCGGTCGGCGGGCCGAGCCTGGTTTTCCGAAAGTCGGAGTTGTACGCGTACAGTGTGACCCAGTAAGGAATCCGGAAAACTCCTTACAGTTGTCGTGAAATGGTCCCATCCGCATTCCCCGGAGCTGAGGATGTACCGCCTCGCAGCGCAGGGTGGCGCTCATGTTGCGCTTTCAGGTGTTGATACGGCACCATTGGCTGATCTCGATGGGCCTACGAGTCGCAGCTTCTGTTACATGCTTGCACCGCACTCTGCGCCCCTTTCAACCAGCCCAGAAATGCCTGCACCGCTGGTTGCTTGACCCAACCCAAGCCACTGAACGCGACAACAAGGCGGGCACAGCTGCGGAAGAAACGCCACTGAACGCGACATCTCGCGCCAACTGCGTGTGTGGCTGGCAGAATTTTCAGCACAGGACTTGTGCTGGATGAAAGGCGGGACCAAAGTGGATTATTAGGTCACGCTAAAAGCATTTAGAGGCTACGAGTGTTAGCTATTTTGTACTTCCGCTCGCGACGCTGCATCGCCATCATTGCAAACAGAGGCCCACGTCACCTTTAAGTAGATTCGGATTGCGCGGTTCCTCTGCTAGCGACATGGGCGCAGAACCGGACACGCAGCGCGAATCGACGCTGGACGAATCGGTCCAAGTGGCCGATGCGTACGACGACGACGAGGAGTCGCAGTACGCATCGGTCAGCAAGGTGGGTCGTCCACGTCGCATGCGTCGTAGGACAGAGGCAATCTGCGATGTTGTTGTGCGCGGCGATAGGACGCGATACTGCGGCGTGCTCGTAGTGCAGCGGGGATAGCGCTGCCGTCGATGGGACGCGCAGCTGCGGCTAGCGCATACGACAGAGTGCTACTAGTCCGTGACGAGTGGAAGGCACGACGTTGGGGACGACTGAAAGGGCGGGAAGAGTTACCAGTGTGGGTTGCGAGGGAAGAGGATGGCGTCACTGCGGGAGAGGAGTGGCCACACCGCGCGCGTAGCTCCTTCCATCCCCACGCTCCCTCACGTGCCACTCGTCTTCTCCACCGCTGCTCACTCACTCGCGCCACCAGCATTCTTTTTCCCGCCCCCCCCCCCGCTGCGCCCCCCCCCCCCCCCCCCCCCCCCCCCCCCCCCCCCCCCCCCCCCCCCCTCCCACTTTTTCTTCCTTTCGTCCGGTCGCAGCAGACGATCGAAGCCCAGTGCGCGCTACACGACCGTGCGACAACTCTTCACGTCCCCCGCCGACTACGGTCAGCCATGCGCCCTTCCTTCTCCATCCCCTCCGTCTAACCCGCTCGCCTCTCTCTCGCTCTCGCCTCGCGCCTTCTTGCATTCGCGCCTTCCGTTCGCCGTCCCCCTCACCCCCATCTTCCTCACCCCCGTAACTTTCCTCTTCTCACCCTCCCCCCTCCCCTCCATCCCTTCCCTCCCTCGTCCTCCCTCAATCCCCCCTTGTCCCCTTTCCCTTTTTCAACGTCCCCCACCCGTCCCGCGGCCGCAGACCCGGCGCGCGAGACGCACTACGTGCTGGTGGTGCACGGCACGTTCGACTCGCCGCCCGCCGCGGGGAATCCGCCGCCGTGGTACTTCCTGGACGCGAAGCGCGCCGACAACTTCTGCCACCTCATCGCCAAGGACCTCAAGGGCACGCCGCTCGGCTTCGACGCCGTCTGGCGCCAACTGCCCGGTGCGCGGGGGGGAGAAGGGGGCGGGGGGGAATTGCACGGAGGTGGGGGTTTGGGGAAGCTGGCGGGCGAGGTGCGGGGAGAGGGGCGCTGCAAGGTTAGCGATAGGGGCTCTGACGACCCGTTGACCCTCTTATTCACCTCCCGCATTCTCCCATCCGTTTCCCCGCCCTACACTCTCTCCCCCTCACTCCCCCGCTCTCCCCCCTCCCCGTTCCCCACGCGCGCAGACTCGCACGCGGGCATGCGGCTGCGCGAGGACGTGCCGTACCCTTTCCACTGGTCGGGGCACAACACGCACGAGGCGCGCGTCGGTGGTGAGCGCGCCTGGGGGGGAAGATGGGTGAGCGCGCCTGGGGGGAAGATGGGTGAGCGCGCCTGGGGGGGAAGATGGGTGAGCGCGCCTGGGGGGAAGATGGGTGAGCGCGCCTGGGGGGGAAGATGGGTGAGCGCGCCTGTGAGGAATGGGGAGTGAGGACGTGGCCCGGGGGACGGGGAGTAGGGGTTTGAGCATGCCCGAGGTACAGTGAGCAGCAAGGGGCAAGGATGATGGGAACGGCACGGCCAAAGGCAGCACGCCATGCTTGCTCGTCCTCGTGCAAACCATCTCTCTTATCCGCCAATGCCGCCACTCATTACCCCCCCGAACCCATCTATTCCACCACGGGCCCCCCTCCTTTCCCCCTCCCTGGCGCAGCGGGCAAAGCGTTGGCGCAGCTGATCCACGCGGTGGGGCGCGCGGACCCGTCGGCGCGCGTGCACGTGGTGGCGCACAGCCACGGGGGCAACGTGGCGCTCAAGGCCGTGTCCAAGTACCTCTCCATGCTGCGCCGCGACTCCCGCGACCCTGCGCGCGCCTCCCACGACCAGATCACCGCCGCCTTCTGGGAGGCGCACGCTGAAGGGTACCGAAGCATAAAGGAGCACCAGCAGGTGAAAGTGGGCGCGGTCTGGATGCTGGCGTTCGCGCCGTTCCTGGTGGTGAAGCGGCCATGGCGGGGCGACGAGGCGCTAGGCGCCTTCCCCTACGCCTACTTCCGACGCGTTGACTCGCTTCTCGGCCTTCCCAAGCGAGTGCCGCCCCCTGAACCCCTCCTTCTCCGCTCCCCCTCACTCCTGTCCTTCAAGGCCGCCCGCCTCCTCCACTCGCTCCCCACCTCCCTCCACTCTCTGCTCCTCTTTCCCTCTTCTCACCCTCTTCGTCACTCCCTTTGTCTCTCCCACATATCTCCTCCACCCACCGGCCATAACCCCGCAACCCTGTACCCCTTCCCTTGTCCGTCCCCCACTCCCTCCCCCCAGGGTGCGGCAGGCCAAGTACCTGCGGAAGAAGTGGGCGGGGAGCAGCAGCACCAACTGCTTAGGCCGAATGGTGTTCCTGGGGACGCCCTTCTACACCAAGCACTGGGACCCGCAGGCCGCGCGCACCATGGCGGGCACCATCCTCGCCCTCTCCGTGCTGGTGTTTGTGGTCATCGTGGGCGCCGTGGTGTCCGTCAAGTACGCCATCTTCCACGAGGTCAACACCGCTGACCTCACCGGCGGCGAGGTCAGCCCCACACCCTGCCAACCCACTCTATCTCCCACCACCCTCTCTGCCTGCCTGCCTGCCTGCCTGCCTGCCTGCCTGCCTGCCTGCCTGCCTGCCTGCCTGCCTGCCTGCCTGCCGGCCTGCCGGCCTGATCTGCCTCATCAATCCCAGTCTGCCTGGCAAGCTAGATCCCACACTCGCTCAATCCTCCCTGCCCTCGTCCTGCGCCCTCTGCCTCCTTCCTCTGTACCACCTCTCCTCACTGCTCGCCTGTGCGCGGGGCCTCGCAGCTCACATTCTGGGTGACAGTGGCGGTGGTGTCAGTGGCAGTGGTGGTGTACAACACGTTGAGCAGCAAGCGGTACAGTGCAAACTGGCAAGCCATACGCCACACTCACTCAATCCTCCCTGTCCTCACCCTGTTTCCTCATGGCCGGGGGGCAGCTCACATTCTGGGTAACAGTGGCACTGGTGTCAGTGGCGGTGGTGGTGTACAACACGTTGAGCAGCAAGCGGTACAGCGACGGCAACGTGTATTTCACGGAGAAGAAGGCGTGGAGCCCAGCCATGAGCGCGCTCGTGCTCAACGCAGGGAAGCTCGACGAGGCCGCCCTCGCACTCTCCACGGAGCCCCTCGTGCGCGCATACCTCATGCCGCAGGTCAAGGTGCGCATACCTCATGCCGCAGGTCAAGGTGCGCATACCTCATGCCGCAGGTCATACTTCCAGCCCAAACGCCATGCTCGCTCCCCTCCAGCGCCACCTCTTCTCTCCGCGCATCCCCCATCCCCTCAATCCTCCATTCCCCACACCCCATCCCCTCAATCCTCCATTCCCCACACGCCATGCCCTCGATCCTCCATTCCCCACACGCCATGCCCTCGATCCTCCATTCCCCACACCCCATCCCCTCAATCCTCCATTCCCCACACCCCATCCCCTCAATCCTCCATTCCCCACACGCCATGCCCTCGATCCTCCATTCCCCACACGCCATGCCCGCGTGCGCCAGACCATGCTGACGCCCGACCCATGGCGCATGCTGCGCCCCTTCCCCGCCAAGACATGGCTGGTGTCGCTGGCCAACCTGTACAACAACTGCTGGGTGGCGCTGTGGACGGTGGTGCTGGCGGTGCCGTACATGATCCTGTGGCTGCTCAACTTCCTCCTCGTGCCCTACTTCTGCAACCAGCTGCTGCGCCTCTTCATCACCCTCGGCTTCGGCCTGCAGAAGGTAACCACCGCCCTGCCCCCGCCACCACGCATCCTGCGCCCTGCCCCCGCCACCACGCATCCTGCGCCCTGCCCCCGCCACCACGCATCCTGCGCCCTGCCCCCGCCACCACGCATCCTGCGCCCTGCCCCCGCCACCACGCATCCTGCGCCCTGCCCCCGCCACCACGCATCCTGCGCCCTGCCCCCGCCACCACGCATCCTGCGCCCTGCCCCCGCCACCACGCATCCTGCGCCCTGCCCTGCCAGCATGTGCACACATGCCAGTTTAAAGCTCAAAGCCCAAATTACGGGGCGCACAGGGCAAGATTACCAATCTTGCTCAACATCCGTTTTGGGTGCTGTATTCTGGCGAATTCTGGTTACAGTATGTATGAAGCAATTCTATTGGTCGAGGCCTAACACAGGGCTAAAACTTCAAGTTTCAGCTTTCTGCAATTTGGGACTCGAGATCTCAAACAGGCTACTGGCCCCAGAGTTTGCTGACTGGGCGAAAAAGCACCTGAGTGTTGCGAAATCAGACAACGCGTCCCTCCCAACACCTGCTCATCTTTCCCAAACCACCCAGCCTTCAGACTTGCGCAAGCTTACTGAACTTGTGCAATTTGGGCCGCGAGCTATAAGGGGCAAGGAAGGTCACTGCGGACTTGCTCTAGCTTTCTGCCATTCCACTTCTCTCCACCTTCTCACTATCAGTTTCTTCTCCTCACTGCACTGCACATGGCATGCTGTGGGTGTGTGTGCTGAATGGCATGACATGGCATTGGATGGCATGGCATGGCACGGCATGGCATGGCATGGGGTCACAGAACGAGTTGGACTGTGCGCAGGTGTACGTGGAGGAGTGGCTGCGGCTGCCCCCAGCGACGCACAGCATAGCGCATTGGAACGTGCAGAAGATCCTCACCGCCGCCACGCTCGACCAGCTCAAAGACCTCCGCAAGCGATGTCAGTCTCCCACCAACACAAACACCCCCCCCCTCCTCTTCCTCGCGGCCCCCACACTCGCGCCTTTGCCCTTCCCCCCGCCCCTCCTACCACGCCCTCTGCTCTGCCACACCTTCCCCTGCGCTCACACCTTCCCCTGCGCTCACACCTTCCCCTGCGCTCACACCTCCAGCCGCTCACTTGACACTCCATCCGTCTCCATGCCCTGCCTTGCTGCCCCTCCCACTGCACTCTGCATGCACCCTCACCCCTTTCTTCCCCTCCTTTCTCCCCTTCTCCCCCCCTTCTCCTCTCCCCTCCGCTGTGTGTGGCATGGAGCAGCGGTGATACCAGGGGAGGCAGCGGCAACGGAGGAGGCGTTGATGGAGGCGCACACGCAGCTCGTGGACCCCCACGCCATCGCGCAGCGCTGGCGCTTCCTCTGGGTAACTGCTGCCGCCCTGCATCCATGTGCCTTCATTCATGCCTTCTTTTCAAGTGTGCACCCAGAATGGGGGTGTGCATGTCACCTCATGCTCACTGCACTCAACCCCACCATTCTCACTGCTCCCGCCTCTTTCGTTATGTGCATGGCATGCATGGCAGGATGACGCGGAGTTGGAGAGGAAGGCGGAGGAGTCGACGACACTGGCGCTGCTAAAGAACCAAGTCGATAAGATGGCACACAACCCCCGCATCTCCAGGTGACCCACCGTGCACCGCTGCGCACACACCTTCCTCACACGCTGCATGCACACACCCTTGCCACATCCCCACACCATCTCACCCGCGCCTCTCTTGTTCCCTATCCCCCGTCCTCCTTGTCAACGCCCCTCCCTTTCCCCCGTGCAGAGTGGCATTCGAGCGGGAGTTGAAGGTGGTGTGTGTGACATTGGAGGAGCGGTACAAGGACATGACAGGCAACGTGGAGCTGTCGCACGGTAGCTACTTCCGCAACCACGTCGTCATCGCCGTCATCGCGCACTTCCTGGCCCACGGAGAGGTGCCCTCTTGGGCGCCGCAGCTGGGGGAGATGACCCCGCCCGCTCAGAAGCCCGCCAAGAAGGGCCCCATGTCGCGCCTCTTCAGCCGCCGCATCACACCCACCCCTGACGAGCTCAACAGCACCCCCTCGCAATAACGCTGGCACCTGCGGGGGCTGCATGCAAGCTCCCCTTGAAACACATACGGCAGTGGTAACAACACTCTGCAGGGACTCGGGTGGAATGCTTTAGGTGCGAGTGCTGTCAGCTGGGGCTAACACAAGCTGGCACTTGAGGCTGGCGCATGTTTTGTCTTAAGCATAGACTGTGTCTTCATATCTGCGTGGTAGGGCTCATAAGGCCACTCCAGGTGGCCAGTGGCCCTGTGTTTAGGCACTCTATGTATGTTAATGCTAAAACACTGCAAGGCTCAAGCCATTTGCATCGGTGTGTCCCACAGAATGAAGGATGAAATGAGAAGCTATGGAAGGCAACGAGAGGACCCGACTCACTAATACCTGCATGCAAGCTCATGATTACCAAGAAACACAAGTACAGCAAGCTCTGCTGTT